ATTGGTACTTTTTAAAAAAATGCACTTTACACAAAGAATTATTTTTTAATTTATTAAACATAATGAATACTTCGAATGTTAATATTATAATAATACTGGACTATTAATTGATTATTAATTAAAATAAGTTTTCAATTGCTAATTGTTAATTAAAATTTTATTTTAAATAATAATTGAATTAATATTTTTATCTCCACAAGTATTAGAAATAAATATTTATTTTAATTGTAAAAATTTTGTTTGTTATGATTGAAAAAATTAGGATAAAAAATAGTTTAGTTACTTTTTGGTAAAAGTGTAATTTTTAACTTTATAGTGTAGAAAAGGAATGTAATGTTATCGACTTATTGTAATTACTTAACTATATAGAATTATTAATTATTAATTAGATTAGTAACTATAGATTATAAATTGTCATTATACATTCAATCTTTTCTTTTTTTATAATTTTTTTTCTATATTTTTATTTTGCAAGAAATTAAAAACACAATTATATGAAAATAGTGTCTAGTGTTGTAACGATTGTTAATTTCATGGGTGCGGATTAGCTCGTCGAACCAGAGTTCGTTGAAAATATAAGTAATTAAATAAGTAGTGCAATTCGTTAATTTAATTTTTAATTAGGTTTATTAATTAAATAGAAAGACGTGAAAAATACATATTGTACGGAAAACGAAAGATACGGAATGTGGACGTAAAATTGCGGGCGAAAACTAATAAACAGTGTACGGAATACGGATTACGATTCGTCACGGGCGAAGATTACGACGAAAAACGGTGCGTGTAAAACACGTATTTTGAGAGGTTAATTCCATCTCACGGCGGTTATGCCGGCCGTTGTCTCCGGGTAATACCTCGGAGAGAGAGTCTTGGCGGTGATTCCTGCCATCTCCGGGTGATCCCTCGGAGAGTGACTCCAGGCGGTAATACCGGCCGTCGTCTCCGCTGGCTCGCTGCCGCGCGCCAGCTTATATACCTGTACGAGGTGCGGCGACGCGTGCGCACTTCGTAGAGGACGAACTACAGTGCCGTAACAAAAATATTTCACCCCTGCTCTTAAAATAAATTTCTAAATTCAAAATAAATACGGTGATCGTCACAGTGTTGAAAACTAAAAGTATGGTTGGATTTTTTTTTCTGAATACAAGTAAAAATTTAGAATTTTAGAATAAAAATTATTATTACTGTAGAGTAATAATTAGTAGAAGAATTATTATTTTATTATTAAACAAAAGTTTTTTCGAGTAGATTCCTTTGTAACTAAATTTATTTGTATTTGTTTTTATTTTTTTATATTGTAATTATTATGATTAGGTATAAAAATTATTTGAAAATAATTATAATTAAATATAAAACTATTTACAGATTTATCTTCTAAACGATGGAAACCAATTTTTGTCGATTTTTATTTTATTTATTTTCTATAATTATTGAAATTTACATACGAAAGGTAAAGTATTTTTGAAAGAGAGGCAAAAAAAACAAATGAAAAATTTACATATTTTTTAGACTATTTTTTATCGCTCTCCGCTTGTACACTTTTTCACAGCATCTTTTACACTTGCCAGTAACATTTTTTTTCCTTTATTATATTTAAGAGTCTCTTGGGAAAATTTCGATTTGTTAATAAAATGTTAATTTGCTGATTCATGTTTTAAGCAAAGAATTTTTTTTTACTTTTTTATGAAAAAAAATATTTCAAAATTATTAAGTAAATTTTGTTTTAAGTTCAAATTTTCAAAATTATTCAGTGAATTTTGTTTTAAGTTCAAATTTCCAAAATTATCCATTACATTTTGTTTTTAGTTTAAATTTCAAAATTATTCAGTGAATTTTGTTTTAGCTTCTAATTTTTCAAAATTATTCAGTAAATTTTTTTTCAGTTTCAAGTTTTCAAAATTTTTCAGTAAATTTTGTTTCAGTTTCAAATTTTCATAAATTATTCAGTAAATTTTTCACTTTAGCGAAAAGGAATGATTAAGAATTAAGAATGAATTAAGAATTATCAAATTATGAATTATTTTTTTATTGTATTTTTATTATTGTTTTTATTCGTATAACATTTTGAGAAATTTATTTACTAAAAGTAAAATTTATTTACTAAAAGTAAAATTTAAAAACTTAAAATAAAATTAAAAAGAAAAAATTATTTGAAGAAAAAACAAATCGATTATTTGACTATTTATTCAAATTAATATTTACTTGAAATTAAGCAATTTTTATTTGAATCAATTATACTTGAAGCAAAGCAAAAATTTCTGTATTTTCAGAAAATTATTTATTTGATAATAAATAAATAAATGTTTTTTTAATAATAAATAAGTAAATATTTATATTATAAGAAATATCTAAATAAATATATTTTTTTTAATAATAAATGAATAAATATTTATTCGACATTAAATAAATATTTGACAAATAAATTAATATTTATTCGATTTCAAATAAATAAATTTTCATTTGACAATAAATAAATATTTTTTTGATGATGAATGAATATATAAATATTTATTTGATTATATAGCCAAATGACCCATTATTTGAATAATCTAATTTTCTCCCTCTCTCCCTCTCTAAAAATTTCAAAATATTTTGAAAAAAAATTTGAATATAAACATTAATAGTAAGAAAAATGTGAAAAATTTCTGCTCTCATTCGAAGCAATTGCTTTTTTTTCAAGCATGAAAAAGGAATAGCTATTTTTTATTTGCACGATACAGTTTTCGACGTTTCACTGAACGTTTTGAGGGGAGAAGATTGATCCAACGCCAGCATTGTCCAAATTGAGTTTTCCCAAGAAGGCTAAAGCATACTTTGATACACAAACATTGTCCTACAACATAACATGCACACACACACACACACACACACACCTTTATAGTTGCTTTCTTCACGAACAAAAATTCACTTTGATCAAAGAAGTCGCAACACACAAAAAAAATTGCTTCATAAATAAATGATAATCATTTCACATTTCAAATCAAATATAATTAATCATAAAAAATATATAAATGAATTTGTATTTAATTTCGATTCATGGAATTTTTTTCTATATAAATCATATAGTAATCGTTTGAGAAAAAATTCGTTTATTTTTTATTTATAGGAGAGTAAATTTATTCCTATTATATAGGGATTATTTAATTACGATGAGAATAGAGGATTCATTAATTGTAATAATTGATGATAATTTATTAGTGGAATTATTTTCGAATATTTTCGATAAAATGTTGTGCATTACAATATTATATCGAATTATTGGAAATTTTCGTGATTTTTTTTGTGAATTAATGATAATTATTTTAATGTCAATTATTGGGAATTGATAAATTTTTTTAAATCCATGACAATTATTGCATGGTTATCATGATAATTATTCTCAATTGTTGTTTATAAATTATTTATTATTAATTATCAATCATTAATTAGTAATTATCAATTGTTTACTAATTGTTTATTGTTAATTATCAATTATTAACAATCAGTAATTAGTAATTATCAATTGTTGTTTACTAATTGTTTATTATTAATAATTAATTATAAATTATTAATTATCAATTATTAATTATTAATTATTAATTATCAATTCTTAGTTAGCAATTATTAATTATCCATTAGTAATTATCAATTGTTGATTATTAATTTTTTATTATTAATAATCAATTCTGAGTCATTAATTATTAATTATCAATTGTTAGTTATCAACTATTAATTATCCATTGTTAATTAATAATTAGTAATTATCAATTCGTGTTTATTAATTGTTTATTATTAATAATCAATTCTCAATCATTAAATATTAATTATCAATTGTTAGCTCTCCACTGTTAATTATTTATCAATTGTTAAATTATTAACTATTAATTATCCATTGTTAATTAATAATTAGTAATTATCAATTCGTGTTTATTAATTGTTTATTAATAATAATCAATTATCAATAATTAATTATTAATTATCAATAGTTAGTTATCAACTATTAATTATCCATTGTTAATTAATAATTAGTAATTATCACTTATTAATTTTCAATATATTATTTATTGAGCATAAATTATTAATTATGAATTATAAACTGTTAATTATTAATTATCAATTATATCAATTAACAATTATCAATTATATCAATTAACAATTATCAATTAATAATTATCAATTGTCAACTATTAATTGTCAACTATCAATTATCAATTATTATTATTTATCAAAGATTAATTAATTATTTTCAATGATCAACTTTTAATTATCAATTTTTTTTCTCAATTATTAATAATCAACTACTAGTTATGAATCATCAATTATTAATTATGAACTACTAATTATGAATTATTAACTATAGTAATTATGAATTAACTATTAATCATCAATTATTCTTTACCAATTATTTGTTAATTTTCAATTGCTAATTGTTAACTAATAATTATCAAATATTATTTATTAATTATCAATTGGAAAATATTGGTTATCAATTGTTTATTAGCGTGAATCAACAATTATCAATTGTTTATTACTATTAATTATCATTTATAATTTAAAAATTATTAATTATCCTCTAATAATTAACAATAATTTATTAATTTTTTTGTATATTTTTAATTAGCAATTAGGGATTGCTAGTTTCTAATTGTCAATTATTTCCCATTTTGTTGTAAATAAAAATGAATAATAATTCATGTATGTATTCTTGACAATTAGGTTAAAATTAGTTTTTTTGAATTTAAAAGCTGCTAAAAATGGAAATATAATTTAAAAGTATAAATTTTTTGCCCAAGTAGAAATTGTTGGTTTTGTTTGAATTACTTTTACCTTTTGTTAATTAACAGTAGGAAGTATATATATTGTTTTTGTTTTTATTTATTAATTTATTTATTTTTTTTTGTATTATTATTATGAATTTTTGAAAGGCGTGTCGTTGAGAATGTAATGAATGAATAATTGATAATATTTAGTGTCTAATGATGTTTGTAATTAACGAGAGAAAATAAATAAATGATCTTTAGGCAAGGTGGATGAGAAAGCGACACAGCTGCACGCTATCGCGTCGTTGAAAGTGCTTTTGGATGCAACAAGACCGCACAATGGAGCTGCGACGTCATCGGCGGCACTTTATTCGGCATCGAAAGAGACAACACTTCAACTTCAGCAAGGTTCACAAGGAACAACTACAACAACAACAACAACAACAGCCGAGACCAGTGCCGGTATTCAAGAACTTCCAAATGGCGGAATTACGCCCGGTATCGACGCTGGCCTCGAATCGGTAATTCCATTTTTTACATTTTATCCAAAAAAATAAAAAAAGCTAATAATAGTAATTAATTAATTAATCAATTAATTAATCACATAATTACAAAAGTTTTTATTATGAAATATCAACTTTAATTTTTTAAGAATTTTAGATTCAAAGTGTAAAAAAATATTTATTAATTAACTAATTAACTATAAGCGTGGTATTCATAAAGTTTTTTGGTGTTAAAGTTTTCCTGAAAATGCCAATTTCACAATTTTGGGCAGTTTTTTTTGTAAAAAGATGAAAATTGAGGGCGTTTCCAAAAATCCTAAATACCCACGTCAAAAAATTTCAAATTACGAATTTTTTTTAATTGTAAAATTATTCGAAAACATCAATAAATTCTTTTTTAAATAAATATTTAATCATTATTATTATTTCTCCATAGGAATTAAGATTTTCCAAAAATTTCAATTTCAAATCTTTATGAAATTTAACAACTCATAAGAATATTATTATAAAACATGAAGATATCAATCATTCCGAGTCGAAGACTCAGAATGATTGATGTCTTCATGTTTTACAATAATTTAAATTTCCATAAAATTTATCAAAAAAAAAAAAATAATTAAATTATTTACAAAAATTTTAATAAATTCCTTTCCAAGAATTCAATTATTTTTACAAGTAATAAAATTTTTTACATGAATTCAATGATTTAAACAAATGTAATAAAATTCGTTGTAAGAATTAAATTATTTTCATAAATAATAAAATTTTTCATAGGATTTCAATTATTTTTAATATAATTTTTAATAAATTCCTCGAAAAATGTAATTATTTTCAAAAATTGTTTGCAAGAATTCAATTGTTTAAGAAAAATGTAATAAAATAATAATAAAATAATAATAATAAATAAAAATAATAATGAATAGATACAATAAAAATAATAAAAATAATACAATTCTTTACAGGATTTCAATTATTAACAGTTGATATTTCAATTATTTGTTTAGGAGAATAATATAATAATTAGTTTTTTGGAGTTTTGTTCAATAATTTTAATTAGAAATTTTGAAAATAATTGAATTAAACAAAGAATTTTTTCAAACTTTTTAAACTAATTTTTGCGATGAATTTTACTTTAAAAAGATTTCTTGACAATAGTCTTTATTTCAAATTTTTGAAAATAATTAAAATTCTGTAAAGAATTCAATTATTTATGTAAAAAATTGGATTCTTAACGAAAATTTGTTTCAAATTTTTGAAAATAATTTGTAATCCACCGAAGAATTCAATAATTTATAAAAAAAAAAATTATGAATTCTTGACAAGAATTTGTTTCAAATTTTTTAAAAATAATTGAAAACTTCCGAAGAATTTTATTATTAATGAAAATAATTGAAATCTTCTAAAGAATTTTATTTTTTATGATAATAATTAAATTCTTGTGAAGAATTTTATTAAAATTTTTGAAAATAATTAAAATCCTCTGAAGAATTTTATTATTTAAGAAAATAATTGAAATCTTCAAAAGAATTTTATTTTTTATGTATAGATATAATTGAATTTTTAAGAAGAATGTTGGCATTGAAGTTGGAGAAAAATAGCTGATTTTCCAGTTTTGGCTCGTTTTTTAGATTCAAAAATGTAAATGTTGAAAAAAATTATATAATTCTTTTTACTAAAAATGTTAACTTTTAAAATTGAAAAAAAATTCCAAAATTTTGGAAAATAAAGTAATTTTTAAATTTTTGTTGCAAAAAGAGTATAAAAAAATGTTTCTCTAAATCTCAATTAGTAAAAATTTGAACTAATTGGATCAAAATTGATTTGAAATTTGTTCTATACAATTTTTTCAACTAACTATTCATTTCTTTTGTTAATTAAAAATTAAAAATTAAAAATTAAAAATTAAAAATTAAAAATTGAAAATTGAAAATTGAAAATCTTAAATAAAAATCTTAACAGCACTGATAAATTTTGATCCATAAAAGTTAAATTTAAAATATCTTTTAAAAATTCAGATAAAGAGGAATTAAAATATCACGATCAATATTCAAACACTGAAGGAAACTTTAAACTCTTCGCAATGAAAAGGAAAAAAAAGAATTAATCAAGACAGGTATAAAATGAAAACTTTTGTTTCTATCCAAAAAAAAAGGTGAAGTAAAATTCCATTTTTCAATTTTCTTCTTAAATGGAGAGAAAATTTTATTCAATTAAAAAGATGATATTCATTTATATTCTACAAATAAGAAGCATTCTGTAATTAAGTTTTCTCCGATTTAGTTGAATTAAAAAAGAGATTAAAAAAAATGAAATGAAAGAAAAGAAAAATGTGCGACAAAATGGGAAAATTGAGGAAAAAAAACGGGACTAGAGATTCATTAATATTTTTAAATTACTTAATTTCCGAAAATTTAATGCATACTGTCTGACTGTAACTTGACAAGATTTAAAACGAGAAAATAAATTATGTTTATAACGTCTGTCTGGGAAATAGTTTTACTACTGAATTATATTAGAAAATAATGTTTTAACATTAAAGGCAAATTTATTTTTTCTTTGAACTTTAGTTCAAAAAAAAAAAAAAAAAAAAAAAAAAAAAAAAAATTAAATGGTATTTGAACCAATAATTTCAGTATTTGAAGCAAATATGAATTGAACCATTTAATTGACTCCAATAAATATTATTTGATTCAATTAAATACTTAATTGATAATAGTCCATTAGGTAATCGGTTATTTGAATCAAATAAATTTTTTTTCAGTGTATAAATAATATATACATAAATAATAATATATGCTATAAATAATATTTATTTATTTATTTATTTTTTTTATTACAACATTTTTTTTAATATAAAAAATCTAATTTTGAGTTCACGATGAAAAGTAACTAGTGAACTTTTTATTTTTCAACTCTGAAGTATAAAGCTTATTCACGATCATATAATAAAACAAAACTCGAATTGGATTTTCTAAAGCTCTAAAGCTTTTATTGTTAATGCATATATAGGATTATAAATATACGAATATCTTCTTTTTGAAAATAAAACAATAAAGATATTTAGAGACAATTCAATAATTTTCGTCACCATTTCTTCAATGATTCGTTTTCTTTTTAGATTTTATTTTTTTTTTATTGTTAGAAGATTCTCTGAAAATTTATTTTTTATATTTATATTTATTTATTTATAAATAGTACAATTTTTTGCAAAAATTTCAAATATTTTCAACAAAAATTTAATACAATTTCACGAAAAAATTCAATTATTTTCTAAAATATTTATAAATCCATTGAATCAATTAAAGTATTTTTTTAAATATCACATTCTTTGCAAAAATTCAATTATTTTGAATACAATTTTATTAAAATTTATCATGAAGGAATTCAATTTTAAAAAAATTTTCAATCCATTTTTCGAAAAAATTCAATTATTTTCTAATATTTTAATAAATCCTTCGAAACAATTTAATTTTTTATTAATAATCCAATTATTATGTAAAACTTTAATAAATCCTTCAAAACAATTCAATAAGTAGTAAAATTCACCAAAAGAATTAAAATATTTTTTATAAATAATAATATTCTTCTCTGAAATTTAATTATTTCCAATACCATTTTAATAAACGTGAATAATTAAATATTAAATTATAATTATTAACAGACACGATTATTTGATCAAGTTGAAAAAAATTCTGTGTTGAATTCAATTAACCTCAAAATGTTCAATTAAAAAAAAGAAAAATTAATTATTATTATTTATTAATTATTTATTTTCAATGGGTACATTAATTTTAAAATTAAAAATAATTGAAAAGAAAAATTATTAAAGTTAGGAAACAAAAAAGCAAACAACTAACTTTCAAACTGCGAACAGATTACCAGAATACAACGATTATTAATATAGATGTTAATGAATTAATTAATTAGTTAATTAGTTAATAAGTGAATTTTTTTTAAATTCGAATCTGGAATAATTCAAAAATTAATGAAGAATATTTTTTAAAACAAAAAAAAGTTTGTAATTTGCATGATAAGAAATCGAACAACGCTTAACAGTTGTTTTTTAAATAAAAAATATTATTAATTAGGATAAAATCAGAATAAATTTTCAAAAACTAATTAAATTAATTATGTGCAAAAAACCGGTTGATATATTCGTTAAAAGATTTCTGAAATTATGGTTAATCAAAAATTCCAGCCAATGAACGTATTCAGCAAAATTGCTAATTTACCATTTCCTTTATTCCCTCTCGAATATATATATATAGATATATATAATAAAAATCTCAACTGAATCTGTATTCGATTTTAATAACACGGTCGTTTCTCCCGGATCTCCGAAGGTATACGAAGAGAAAAATTGCCATTGCAAAAACGTGTCGTCCATTGCCGTAGATAAAATTTATCGATCGCCGGCCTCTTTTTTTTTCTATATAACACAATCGCGCATTCGTTCATGTGCATCGTACATCCGTCATCTATATGCAAGCCATGCATATACAGAAAATTTTTCGATTTTATTTATTTAATAATATTGTTATTTATTAATTACGAAATAAATGCAATTTCGTATTTTGTCCTGATTATTATTTTAAATTAACGAATTATTTATTTTACTTTTCATATTTGCATTTTTGTCTGGTGTTTAAAATTAATGATAAAAATATATATACTCAATTACCTAGTAATTTAGTAATAATAAAAAATAAAAAAAATAAATAAAAATTAGGACATAATTAAAATTAAAAATTACAACATAACGTTCTACATAATTAAATATGCACTTTAATTTTTATAAATAATTTTTATCACTTATTTTTGTATTTAAATTATTAAATTCTCGAACCAGTTTTTTTAATAATAAAAATTCATAATTAAAAGAAATTGGAAATTTTTATTTAATTTAATTTTTTAATTTTTTTAATTCTTTAAAAATTATTAAACTTTTAAATAATTTTATAAAAAAAATTCTAAAAAATAAATCACTTTCAAAAAAAAAAAAAATTTGTAGTTGTAAATTTTAGAAATAATTAAATTTCAAAAGGTTTTACATTGAAATGATTTGAAATACAAAAATAAAATAAATAATAATAAGTTTTTAAATATTTGTTTAACAAAAATTATTCAAATATAGAATAATTATTCATAACTTTAATTGTTTTTGTTCAAATAATTTTACGTCCGTAAAATTTAATTGTTTAAAAAAAAATTTTTATTTAAAATTAAAAATTTTAATTATTTGTAAAATTTAATTTAATTGTTCTTATTACACAGTTTTTTTTAAGAATTTCAAATTGAGACAAAAAACGAATCAAAAATGTTGCGAAGCGACTTTTTGATTCGTTTTTTTTGATTCGTTTAGAAAAATTTTGTAAACAAATGTAGAAATTCTAAAAAAAATAGCTTTTTGAACAATTGAAATTAAAGTTAAAATAAAAAAAAAACAAAATTCCCGTATTCAATAAATTGAATCAAGTTAAATTAATATTATATATTATTATATTTTTATTATTTTTTCATTATTTTTTTGTAACGCTTTTTTTATAAATAAAAATTGTAAATAATGTCTTGATAGTAATGGACTTCTGACAATTGCAAAATGTGTGTATATATCCATGCTTTCAAAAAATGAAGAAAGAGTCTATTTTTGTGCGTCATAGGATGAGAGGGCAGAAAAAAAAGTTTTTATGAAACTGGAGCAAAAAGATTTTACTCCGATCCTCAATCTCTCGCAGTATGGTTCCAAAAAATGTATGAAAACATTTTTTTCCCCAAAAGATAAATTAGTAAACGCGAAGGGAAAAATATAATTCTAAAAGTTTTTTTCCCCTCCCCATTTTTTTTATCACTTCTTGAAATCAAATTAATATTAAAACTTATTTAAATCTATCGTCAATGATAAGGCGAAAAAAAGTTGTTTCAGAAAACTAAATAATGAAAAGTGTCTTACTTTTCACTTTTTTTAGAAGTAATTTTTTTTTTAGTTAATAATTTATAAAAATTAATAAAATTCTTAAAATTCTTAAACAAATGGTATTTTTATGAAATTATTTTTCAACAAAAAGGGATAAATTGGGAAAAAATAAAAAAAAACTTTTATGCCTATTATTAAACGAAATTATTATTAAATTAAAAGTTTTAAAAAAAGCAAAAAAATATATGGAAACAATAAAATGCAAAAAACATACAAAAATATTATATGGAGAAATGTGAAAAAAAGAACGAAAAAGTTCAAAACAGTTGCAAAATAAAAAGAAATAAAATAAATAAACAGAAGAGCAAAATTTTATTCCACTCAAATCTTTTTTTTATTATAGATAAACTTTTTTATATCTGCCAAATGCTGCCAGATTCTCTGCATTTAAAAACAAGAGTAACATACAGATCTATCTGCTCTATAATAAAAAAACAAAACTGATTGATTTTTATTGACACTGTAAAATATAACAATCGAATAAATTCTAATTTATTTGACGGAAAGAGGTAATTGGATTTTTTTTAAAAAATCAGTTTCTGTGAATTTTTACCCTTAATTATTCTTTTTTTTTTTGAATAACAAATTAAATGTTGGATAAAAATATTTGAATTCTCTATTTTTATAAATAATTATTTTATTTTTTTTAAAATAGAAAATTAATTTTTGGTATCCAGTTGTTATTTAATTTAATTTAATTTTTAGAACAATTATTTTTAAGTTTTTAAAAATAATTGTGTTTCTTAATAATTGATATTAAACATTTAATTATTGAATTTTATTAAAATTTTTGGAAATAATTAAATTCTTCTCAGAATTTTGTTACAATTTTCTAAAATAATTTAATTTATTCAATAAGTAATATTATTGAAATATAGAAAATAATTGAATTCTTTCAAAAAAAAGATACTATGAAAGATTTTTATTAGTTTTTGTAAATAATTAAATTCCTTTGAAGAATTTCTTGTTTTTTTTAAAAATAAGGAATTTTTTTGAATAATTTCAATTGAAAATTTTGAAAATAATTAAATTAAACAAAGAATTTTTTCAACTTTTTAAAATCATTTTTGTGATGAATTTTACTTCGAAAAGATTTCTTGACAAGAATTTATTACAAATTTTTGAAAAAAATTGAATTCTTGACAAGAATTTGTTACAAATTTATGAAAATAATTTGAAATGCTCCGACAAATTCAATTATTTATGAAAAAAATTGAATTCTTGACAAGAATTTGTTTCAAATTCTTTAAAAATAATTGAAATTCTGTAAAGAATTCAATTATTTATGAAAAAAATTGAATTCTTGACAAAAATTTGTTTCAAATTTATGAAAATAATTTGAAATGCTCCGAAAAATTCAATTATTTATGAAAAAAAATTGAATTCTTGACAAGAATTTGTTTCAAATTCTTTAAAAATAATTGACATTTTGTAAAGAATTCAATTGTGAAGAATTTTATTAAAATTTTTGAAATTTAAATTCTCCGAAGAATTTTATTATTTAAGAAAATATTTGAAATCTTCAAAAGAATTTTACTTTTCATGAAGATAATTGAATTTGTAGGAAGAATTTTAATAAAATTTTTGTTAAGATTGTATTGAAAATAATTAAATATTTAGAAAGAATTTTATTAAAATTTTAGAAAATAATTGAATTCTTTTGGAAAATTTTTTAACGAATTAAGAAAAAAATTCAATTCTTTCGTGAAATTTTATTGAAAATAATTGAATTTTTGCAAAGAATGTGATATTTAAAAAAAATAATTGAATTGTTTCGAAGGATTTATTAAAATTTTGTTGAAAATAATTAAATTTTTGCAACTAAATTTATTATTTATAAAAACAACTGAATTCTTCCGAAGAATGTTATTATTAATGTAAATAGCTAAATTCTCTTAAAGAATTGTATTCAAATTTTTGAAAATATAAACAATAATAAATAATTATGTACTTAATAAGTGAATTTTTTAATTTTTGATTATGAAATTATTCAAAAATTTATATTTGAAAATAAAAAATTCTGTAATTTGCATAATAATTATAATAATAATAATTTAAATATTTATAATATAAATATAAATTTTTTATAATACCTATAGTGTTATAAAATGTATTTTATACCAATTTTTTTTAAAGGCCAATTTTTCTATTCTCTTTGTTTTATTTCAGGGTGAGGAGGATGAACCTCCGGAAGCTCTCGACATGGGCTGGCCTAGCAGTCCCAAGAAAAGGCTCACATATATTCTAGTTGCACCTATTCTGATTCCTCTCTGGTTGACGTTACCAGACACGCGAACACCCAGAGGTAAATAAAAAAAACTAAATTTTTTTTCCATATCAATAGAATTTTACAATATTATATGAAGGTGTTAAAAAAAGAAGATAAAATTAATTTTTTCCTCTCATTACAAATTATAATGTTCGACTGTTTATTTATTTATTTGATTGATGGGAAAGTTGTCGATAAAATCAAATAGGCCGTTCAAGTGATAAAACGATGGTAAAATATAAAATGTGTATAAATTATTAATTTTTGTACTGTTATTATCTGACTTAAATGACCTTATACTACTTATTTTTTATATTACTAAAAACTTTTTTCTACTCCTTAATTTATATTTTAAGCTTATTCAATCATTTGTCCGACTAAAATTGCATTTTATTACTGCAATTCTTTAAAATAATTTTTGTCTGACTAAACAGGTCGTTTACTACTTATTGTAAATACATCACAATTTAAAATGTCCAATTGAAAAATTGGACATTAAAATTTTTTTATACTTTATTTTATAATATATATAATGTATAATATATTATATATTATAATGTATTATATTTATATTATATATTTTACAACTAATAACAATATTTAAAAAGTATGAAACTATTCGTCTGGCTATGAATCTCTTTTACTACTTTGTAATTTCAAATAAATAAACACGGAAAATCGATTCCACAGTTTTCTGAAAGACATAAATGAATGTGAATAAAAAATGTTTTTTTGTCTGGCTTCAAATGACTTTTACTACTGATTTTTTTTCTAATTACAGTTATAAATGTTTCACTAAATTGAAACCTGATTCGGTCTGACTTAAAACTCGATTCTACTACTGAATTAATATTTTCAGCCTATAAAATCATTTGTCTGACTAAAATTGAATTTTACTACTGCAATTCTTTAAAATAACTTTTGTCTGACTAAAAAGGTCTTTCACTACTTTAAATAAATAAGAAATTAATAAGCATAATTAGACTACAAATTTTTTTCTACTTGAATAAATATATTTAGTTACTAATAACAATATTTAAAGAGCTTTTAAAAGCTCTTTAAAAGCTCTTTAAAAGCTCTTTTTTTAAACTATTCGTCTGACTATTAATATCTTTTACTACTAAGAAACAACAATTTTTCTCGGAAACTTAAAATTTGTTGTAAATTAAAAATGTATGTACATATTTCTTGTATAAATTTGATATCTTTAAAAAAATGTGGTAAAAAGAATGAAAAATAAAAATTTTTTAAAAAGAGAAAAATAAAATAAAAGAGTAAGAAAAATAAATAATTATAAAATAAAGCAGTAAAAAATAAAAAAAATAAAATAGAACAGGAAGAAAATAAATACACAGAAATAGTAAAATCATAAAAATAATAAATGTAATAAAAAAACAAAAAATTGAAAATTGAAAAAATACTGAAAAAGTTTTGTTTGGCTAAAAATATTATTGTTGAAAATCTATTATTATGTCACTTAAAAACAAAAATGTTTAACAACTGAAATAATAATAAAAAATAAAACTAACCACAATGAAAAAGAAATAAACAAAAAGTAACACAATATTGAAATAAAAAACAAGAGACAAAAAAATAAAAACAAAAAATAAATAAATTTGCTTCAAGTCCGTAAAACTCCGTTTTTTTTAAAAAAAAAAGGTGTCCGAAATTCACTTATTTTCAAAAATTTTAATAAAATTCTTGGCAAATATATAATTAACTTCATAAAATAGAAAAATTTCACAGAAATTCAATTATTTTCATGAATAATAAAATTTTTAAAGGGATTCAATATTATTTTCATAAATAATAAAATTCTTCTTAGGGATTCAATTATTTTCACAAATAATAAAACTTTTCGCAGAATTTCAATTATTTTTAATACAATTTTAAACACATTTCATAAAAAATGTAAATATTTTTAAAAATTTTGTTAAAATTCGTCGAGAGAATTCACTTATTTAGAAATTTATTTGATAAAATTCTTTACGAGCATTCAATTAATAAATTATTTATTTTTATTTTTAAATAATTAAATTCTAGTAGAATTTTCTAATAAAAATTGATTTAAAAATGAATATTAGTTAAAATTTTACATAAATAAATAAATAATAATAAAAAAACAGAAAATTGAAAAATGAAAAATGAAAAAATACTGAAAAAGTTTAATTTAACAAATTGATTAATTAATTTAATTTTATAAATAAATAAATAAATTTTCTGCAATTTAATGATTTTCAATATCTACTATTTTAATAAAATTTTAAGAATTCAATTATTTAAAATAAATTTCAGTAGTAAATTTAAATATTAAAAATTTCACAGGAATTCAATAATTTACAACTTTTTTATAAATTTCTTCGCAATAATTCAATTATTTTCATGAATAATAACATTTTTACAGGGATTCAATTATTTCCACAAATAATGAAACCCATTGCAGAATTTCAATTGAATTCAATTCAATTAGAATTTTTTAATAAAAATTGATTTAAAAATGAATTTCACAGAAATTCAATTATTATGTTCAAAAATCACAAAGAAAATTCTCGTCAAAGTTTCAATTATCTTTATAAATATAATAAAATTCTTCTGTAAAATTCAATTATTTTCAAAAATTTTAATAGAATTCTTGGCAAAATTTCAATGATTTTTCAATTTTACTATTTTAATAAAATTTGTCAAAAGAATTTAATTATTTAAAAATAATTTCAATATCATTCTATATACAAAAATTTAATTATTTTTATAAATTATTAAAATTTCATGAAATTGAATTCCTTTGCACAGAAATTCAATTATTTACGAATTTTCTATAAATTTCTTCGCAATAATTCAATTATTTTCATAAATAAAAAAAGTTTTTACAGAGATTCAATTATTTTTATAAATAATAAAATTCTTGTTAGGATTTCAATTATTATTTTCTTAAATAATAAAACTCATTGGAGAAGTTCAATTATTTTTAAGGGCATTTGAACCATTATGACGTCATAGGTTCTGCAAAGCATGTGTTTTAAGGCTGTGACGTCATCATGGTTCAAATGCCCTTAATACAATTTTAATCAAATTTCTCGAAAAATTTAATTATTCTTAAAAATTTTATTAAAATTTGTCGAAATAAATTCACTTTTTTAAAAAGTTATTTGATAATATTCTTTACGAGCATTCAATTTTAAGAAACATTCAATTATTCAATAAATTATTTATTTTTGTATTTAAATAATTGAATTTCAGTAGAATTTTCTAATAAAAATTGATTTTCATTTCATAAAAATGAATTTCAGTTAAAATTTTACATAATAATTGAATACTAAAAGCAATATAGCGTGAATTTTTAGAAATAATTGAATTTTGAAATTAATTTTTTTGAAAAAGTTTACATGAATTTTTTTTATATTACTTAAAGTTTTTATTTTCTAATGTATATTTAATTGGAGAATTTACGATAATAATTGATATTCGTCAAATTGAATATTCTAAACAAATATGGATTTAAAAATTGCCAAAGAACTTTTTCGAAAATTAATTGCTTTTAAGGAGAATTTTAGTTAAAAATCCTGAAAAATAATAATTGAATTGTAATAATGAAAATAATTTTGAAGAAGAATATTTTTATAATATAAAATAATAATTTTTGTCAATTTGCCATTTTTAATTATTATAAAATTTAATTTCTAGTTTTAAGTAAAATGTTTTCTTATTTGACTCGGACTGGTTAAATTTTTGTCAGAAATTGGTCCGTAAGGTCCGTATTTTGAAATACTTTCACTGGTTCGAGCCCTGAAATTAAAAAATAAAAAAAAAAGATGGAATTTTTTTTTTTTTTTTTTCTTATTGAAATGTATAACGTGTTTAATATACTATATATAGATTAATGATAATGTAACCGCGATAGGGTGAGAAACAGTGATATTTAGCTATTCTCGAATGGCACACGAACCAACACAGCCTTTTCATATATATACAAGTTGGAGGCACTTTAATTGAAAATGGAGTTGTGGTGTACATCGTATCAATGATGTACGCGTTCGTTAGTGCGAAATTAGTAGGACAATATCACGTTTCATTGAGCGGTTACGTCATTGTATAAAGAGAAGATTGTTAATAGCTCAAGTTAGTAAACTGGAGATTCGAGTAACGATTCAAGTAAACGTTTAACCTCATTTATCTCCATCAGTTTCATTCAATGTATGCCTGGGAACGTCTCCTCTTTCTCTCCACCTACACACACACATATATATTTTTATATATAAACACAATTCGTTTATATATTTTTATAAATTTTACTTTCCCTACAACTAGTGCCAATTAAAAATTAGTTCCATTCCTTTCTAAGGTTTAAAAAACACGAGAAATGTTTTTTTGTCATATTTTAAGTAGTAAAAGAGATGAATAGTCAGACGAATGGTTTTAGACACTTAAATTAATAGTAATTAATTTTAAACACAATTATTAATTATTAACTATATTAATTTGAATGTTCTTTAATTCTTTCATTCATTCACTTTTTCTGTCCCTCACACTCTGAAGGTGTCTTCTATTTATATTTTTGTTTTTGTTATCTTTAGATAACTAGAAAATTTTACGCGCGGAACGTGATATTCAATTTATTATTGTTATGCAAATTACAAATATTTTTAATCTTCAAATATAAATTTTTAAAATAATTTCATAATCAAAATTTAAAAAATTCACTTATTATGTACAAAATTAATTATTACTGTTCATATTTTCTAAAATTATAATAAATCCTTCGAAAAAGTTCAATTATTTTCATAAATAGTAAAATTCTTCACAAGAATTAAATTATTTTTAATCAAATTTAAATAACATGAAATTAAATTACATGAATGAATTGAATTATTTTCAAAAATTTTCCATAAAATGCAATTTTACCAAGAATTTAAAATTCTCTAAAAATAATTCAATTATTCTCAAAATATTTTTAAAAAATTCTATATTAAAATTAAATTACTTCCAATGCAATTTTTAAATATATTCGTCAAAAAAATTGAAAGAATTCAATTATTTTC